CTTGATTTGTGGCCTTCCGCGACATGTCGTAGTGGAAATATCCTCAACTTGCCACTCGCTCTGAGACCTGGGAGCATTTTCCCCGACCCTGTAACATAATCTTGATGCTTCTCTTAATTTCGTATTCCCATGCTTGCCTGATGATCCTGACAGTCTGAGTGATCCCAAATCTCACAGCGTATAATCTCAAAAGGACCATTGTCGTTTATTGTGTGAGGTGGCATTGTGAACACGTGCAGTTTGTGTATGCTGCGGCACCTTTGACGAATCCATGTTAGTGTTACACTCAAGACCATCGTGTGCTAGTGGAATTTTCCTTGCCGCGAACCTTGCCAAGACAAGCACGGACAAGGATTCGGAGCCAAGTCCGGGTATCTACCACGCTACGACAGCAGATTCACTATTGGGGAGACGTCGGAACTGTCTAAGAGGAGCAGTAGGGCCGAAAGGGTACAAGGGCTGCTGAGCTTCTCATGGAACCTCAAGAGACATGCTGACTCAATTGTTGATGACTATCCCATGTTCAGCAGCTTTGAGGACTGAAGTTGTAGAAATAAAGTCAGGTTCTCATTGACATGGTAGACAAACAACAACACCAGGATATCGCGTTCTGATGCGGATCGACGGCGGCCTGCTCAGTTGCTCTAAGTTGAAAATTTTGCTGTTCCCCCGATTCCTCGCCAGACAACAACACTTCGCTCCAACCAGTCGGCTACAACAGGCCGCTATCTGCACGTCTTGCCACACGAGATATTACAGTAAATCGCAGGTCATGTTGCCGATTCGCATCCACCCGCTCTTAATGCATTGACCTTGACAAGTAAAGGTTGCCATGTAGTATATTCAACTTTCGCTAGGTCCATCTCACAGTTCGCAACCCTAAGTAACTGAAACGTGATGTCACAGCTCCTGCGGCGCTCTCCGCACCAACTCCGCTCGTCGCGTCCGCAGCCTTACGCTTGAAGGTTTTCTGGATATTGAACTAGTGGATAAAAAAGGGGGTGCTGGATTGGTGGGAGTCAACTCGGATCGGAGAACCTCGCATCAACAATATCCTGCCCAACAAAGAAACAACTTGTTCTGCATTCTATGACATCCATGATGCATTTTGTGAATAATCTTCCGAGGAGGATACAGGATGGGCCTCGGTTATTAGCCTGGCGAAAACACTACCGCCTCTAGCTAAGACGGTATATAACTGCTCAAACCACTTCCCACCCAGCTAGCTTGCTAGATACCCTCTATTAAAGCCATGCCCATTGCAGGATCCGTTACCTTACATTTAGACTACAATCACTGGCACAATACCCCACCCATGGAATTACCTGGCCACATCCTTATGCCTCCACCTTGTCAAATTCTTCGATTCTTGGCATGATTCAGGGTTGCCGATGATATCTCACCACATTGAATAGGATAAGTAAGGCTATTATTGACTTTTGAACCTTTATGCCCTGCATATTATTATAATCATATAGATTTCTATGAACTCTACATTTTTTATGCAGTGATTCCGCAGCTGCCGATCATTGCAAAAACAGTCCAGTAGTCCAGTTTAGGTTCAACAGCCAAATAGTGGGCTACATCCTGGGCAGATTTGACGCCATTGTCAGCCATGTGTGCTAAAGACTGCAGGATCCATTCTCGCAGATTCATATTTGGCGTTATCTGTGCAGCTTGGTAGAGGGCAGTCAATATACCGCGGCATTCTAGTATCTGCAGTGGCGAAAACGGCACCGTATTTCCAGATCTAGCCCCGACCAGTATGAACTGAGGTACAGCTGCGCAGATGTCTTGTGTTATTTCGGCAATGGTGTTTGCAACCATGCTGCATGGATCGAGGTTGTGAATGATATCACACATCTCCAGACGAAGGATCCGGAAGGCGTTGAAGACCTGAGTTGCGTAGTGGCTCGGATAAACATCATAGTAACCGTCAAAGATGAGGCTATCGTGAGAATCTACCTGACGCGGCCCCCAGGAGCGGGGTATCTTTCTCTCCGCAGAGGCGAGTTGGTCTTGCAGATCGCAAGCCTGCGAGAGGATGTCATCTGGTCTTAATACACCGCTCCGCATGTGGGCACGAAAATCGATGACGCTCATCAACAGGCCGAGAAATGTCCATTTGGCGTGCCGAATATGGTTATTCAGGTCTCGGCGAATCGCATGTAGTTTGTCCGGTATGGGTTTACCAGTTACACCGCAGCTGATAGTTAGCGCCAGTACAGTTCGACTGGCAAGTTGGCAAGTTGTCGGATCGACAAAGTCCGCACTCGGTCTGGCATGTACCATAGCTAGAGCACCCTGGATGTGACTTAACCAGGATCCATGTAGCCCTAGCCATTGATGGTAAATGGCCAGTTTCTCGTATAGATCGAGGAGAAGTACGGATTGGAGGGTCTCATTGCTAACACAGTGAGAGGGCCCGTTGCTAGACGATTTCAGCGAGCTGTGTATCGCTTCTCTAACTGTCTGGATGGCAGTCAAATATTGTCGATTGGCCAGGGGCATCAGGTCTGGACGATTCGCTTGGAGGGCCATAAAGGCCAAGCCGACAGCACCGACACTGGCTTGCAGGTGTCCTGCAGGGGAGGATGTAGCCAGGAGAGGTGCTAACGCGTCAAATCCGTAGGAGTATCGTTCGATATAGAGGCAGAGGAAGGCATTCCGAGACAGTACATCCCAGGAGAGTTGTGGAGCTGCGGTACGCTGGGCGGCCGCATGGCGGGCCAGGGCTTTTTGGGTTGTGAGGTGTGTCTCATCGTGGAAGGCTAAATCTTTCATATCACGGTACCCATAGCAAGTTAACTTGGCTCTGCGGCACTGGCTACACCCCTGGGGATCTAGATCGCACTGCATCGATCAGTAACATGAGCATTTCATATAGAGCCATGAGTGGATCACCCATGAAACAGCTTTCTTACCCGGATCTTCCTCCTTCTGCAAGGTAAGCAATTCCGGGACGGACGGCCGTAGTAGACCATGACTTGTTCAATATCGATTGCTTTGATAGACGAGATTCATTAGATGCTAGGAGATTGACTCGCTGCAGTGTAGTTGCAATGCAGACTTCGGCGCTATTTGTCAGCTTCCGCCATTGACGGCGCTCGTACCAACATCCAAATCTAGACGCCCCTCTTAGTTGACTAATGCCCATCCCTATACCCCCCTCCTTTGCCAGAGTCGATTGGTTGGCAGGACGCCCCATATAATGTAGAACCTACGGAACTCTAGCCTTGTTTGGCGCCTTATCGCCTTTCGCTTCTTAGGTTGTCAAGTTACAGAACTCTAGCCTTATTGAGGACATCGGACTAGAGGCTCGTTCTGGAACCAGTGCTAAATAGAAGTTTCCAGAGGCAAAATGGAATTTGACATGTAGGTCCGAGTGCTAAATGTCTAAGTTGGCAGGAATCAGAAGGGTGGACGCTTGAGTAAGCGAGGAAACCGAGAGAGAGAAAAGTATATAAAGAAGCCTACATGACTTCCAACGACGCCATTTCTCAACACGTCTCGGAATCACTTATCTTATACCTATTATTACTTGGCAGTCAGTCAGTCATTTACACATAAGCATTCAATCCGACAACTTGGCACTATGTCTCAAGCCCCAGAGCTCGTCCTCTATCATACCGTTATTCGCGACATTTACGCGCCTATCGATGAAGTTTGGGGTATCTTGGGAGGCTTTGGGGCCGAAAAGTCTTGGTATCCAGGGTGTATCAAGCTCAGCCTGGAGGGTTTCGGCATTGGCAGCATCCGCACGTTTAGCTATGAGTACCCTGCTGGTCCACACAAAGGGGAGCGCTATGAATTCTCAGAAGAATTGACTGAAGTGGACGCTGGGAACCACTCAATGACGTTCAGAGTGACAAGGCCTGACTACCCCGGCATGATCGCCTTTGGGACCACTGCGCTGGAATATATCGGCCCAAACAAGACCCGTTTTATTTGGAGTGCTAGAGGAAGCCCGCTCCCACAGGAACATTCAAACATCTTGGTTGAGGACTTGGACTTGCGTTTCTCTGGCTTAATCGCAGCTATCGCAAAGCAGGTAGAATAAGGGAACTCGGGCCCAATTGTCTACGTGGAGATTGAGGATTGCTGTACTTGTTACGTGTGTTCAGAGGCTGTGCACTCGGGTGTCAATTCATAGTTAGTCTCCAGAGGCCTTAACAAGAGAATATACCAGTGCTCCTGTGTTGGCTCGATGTTATTGATCCCTCGTATTCATTGTGTTAAGATGTCGGGACTGGCATCTTTTCTTGTTGTTTAATCTTAAACTCAAACTCCTCTCCCGTATTCTTGGACCCTCTACAAGTTCGGTGTTATCCCCTATGATGAACTGAGGCTTCTGCCAAGTTAGGTACTGAAAATCCTTTGTTGAGTGACAATGTATATATCATTATATTGTTTCGAATGGAGGTTGGACCGAATGTGCTTCTGTTTCTATCGGTTTAGATGGCTCCTTGGACATCAGCAGCGTTTAACATGGTTGTAGAAAATATCCTGCCAGGATCGCGTTACCAATCAAGGATGCCAAGCTTCGACAAAAAATGCAGGTAGTTCAGTAAATCTTTTAGTTAGGTGCGCATGATAAGCAACAGCTCGATTGTCGGATCTTTATAAGTCGAGGAGAAAATGAATACCAATCAGTACCCCAAGTGCATTCTAACAATTATAGGTAGGTCCCAATGTAGAGACAAGCTGGCTCAAATATTCCGAAGTACTCTATTGAGCCTCTCCGTCAATTTCTGGACTAATAGTACTGGTAATGTCCCTCTTTCTCGCAGATCCTGGACATGAGAAGACTGCACGTGGACAACTAGGTTTTCTACGCGGCGCCCCGAAGGCAATAATCCCGTCACATTTGAAAATTAATAGCTGTGATCTTTCGTACGGTTGGAGACGTGATAGTATAATGTTTGGCTTCTCATCCAAGAGCTATGGTTGCTCCTGGCTCGAGATGAAGACAAGGCTGGACCCTCGTTACTTGCCGCCATCTAGTCCACTCTGATGATAGAGCCAATAACGTCAAAAGTATGATCCCAGATCTTTTGGGGGGCCCCCATTTTCTCCAAATCATCTAGTAACTCGTCCTGTTGGAGAACCTCAAACTTGTCGTCGATAGAGAATAGCGACCCACTAGATCCATGGGCCAAAGTCGGGGCTGGCTTTCGCCCGTCCCGCATAGGGACGCCATTGCCCCCGAACTCCGCGCTTGTAATTAAATAGAGGCATCGCTCACCAGATTCATCCGGCGTCAACTCCACAAATGTCCCAGCAGGTGGAGCGGCGGTAGCCTTGCTGGGGTCGAACTTGCCAGCCCAGCTCTTCAGGAATAGATTAGTGCTAACCTTGCCAGGATGAGAGTGGATGAAGACTATATCTTTGCTCTCTGGTACCTCAGAGATACGTTTTAGAGTCAGTGTTATCGAAGTAGCGGCGTGGGACGCGTAAGTGGGGATCCCAAAACGGCCGGGATGTTTGAGAGCCAGATCGTCGAGGAAGAGGTTTGTCGACTCCTGTCCGGCGGCAAGGACGTTGATAACACGGGCAGATTCCGACGACTTGGCGGCGGCTCTAAGCTGGGGTAGGAGAGAGGTGATGAATACAATATGGCTATAGTAGGACACGACTTGAGACGCCTCTAGGCCCTCAGAAGTCTCTGTGATAGTGGTCAGCCTAAATGGCCTGGGGCTGACTGCAGGTGGGGCCTGATTACTCGCCTTGACGTCCAGTGAAAGGCAAATAGCCTGCCGAGAGAAATAGGAGGTTGACTTTTTCTTCCTGAACGGAGATGCCATTGGCAATGCGACGAGAGTCTGCGATCATGGATATCTGGCCCTTGACATAAATCAAGTCTGCCTTGGGGTTCAAAGCCCTAAGTTCATCCAACATGGCCCGGTGACCTACCTCATCTCTACCTACGATATAGACTTTGATCGGAAAGCCCTTAGAGACGAGATTCCTGAGGGTAGCTTTGCCAATACCGTCGGTGCCGCCCACAAAAACGGCGGTCTTGGGGACACTGGCCTCAGTAATGAGCTTGTTTGAGGCTCGAATGGGAGTGAAGAAGGACATGATCACCAAGAATGATGAGTAGTAAGTATAAGGACTAGCAGTGTTTGAAAAGCGAAATGTGTAGGGATATATCTCAGTTTCTTTCGAACCTGCAGCTTGCCGGCATTTATCACACTGCACTATTCCTACGTATCCAGAAGAATTCCCTGGCAGGAATGACCTACGCTGTATTCCTTCTGAGCCGAACCATAACGCTCTTCGTATTCGTCATCAGTTGCCTCTTCTCTGGGCGAAATCATGGAGATATCGGCCTCGCGGGTGCTTTGTCAGTATGGCACCCACAAAGAGTTCCTCACCCTATCGACGGTGGTGGCCCACACACGGAACGCTAGCCGCATTTGAGCTACCTAAAGTGCAAGTTCCCATCGCCAAACGCGTCGTCGGATCTTTATTGCCTCAAAGAGACGGTTTCGAGCTCCACTGCACGGAAAGCTAGCTCCGTTTGGACTGGTCTAAGTGTTACCTCCAAGGGGTTGGGATAAGCATCTACCTCGGTGTTCTCCTCGAATTTACCGAATCATTATTAATTCATGGTTAGGGAAAGACACTGATCAGCGGTAGAGGTGCATGAAGCAAGTAGCCAATCCATATTATCTAAAGATTATAAAACGAGTTTGATGCCGTGTATGCCATAACGGTTTATCCGCCTCATTGCATTGATATTCCCATCGCGACTCTTGTATCGGAATCTATCTTAATATCCACCTTCTTCCCGGCTAGTCACATCAACGTTTCATTATGCTGGTGCTGGTTCCTGGAATCACTGGCAACCTTGGCTTGCATCTTCTTGATAGTCTCGTTTCTCGTGGACATCAGGTCAGAGGCCTTGGTCGATCGCCAGATAAGCTCACTGACGAGCAGCGCTCGAACCTCGAGAGTTTCGTCCAGATCGGAAACTACTACGACATCGAAGCTTTGGATGAAGCCTGCAGCGGCGTCGAAGCCGTCATCTGTGCCTATGCCGGAACTCCTTTAATGCACCTCGATGCCCAGCTGCTTCTCCTACGTGCCGCCGAGCGAGCCGGCATTACACGTTTCCTCGCCGCCAGCTGGAATTGCGACTGGAGACAACTACAACTTGGAATGCATCAAAGCTACGATGCTTGCATCGCCTTCTATCAGCAGGCCAAGCTGACATCAAAAATTAAGCCGATCTGGATTCTGACTGGTGGCCTGACCGAGGTCTATTTCTCTCTCCCCGGCCATGGTAACTTCTCCCCCGCTTATAACGGACCATGGGATCCTGAAAATAAGACTGTCGATATTTGGGGAACCGGTCACGAAAAGTGGGACCTGACCACGGAGAAAGACGCGGCCGAGTTTTCCGTCGAAGTTATCCAGCGTGATGATGCCCCAGAAGGAGGCTTTTGGGAATTGCACTCCGGTGCCTACTCCCCTCGGGAGCTCGCAAAGATTTACAAAGAAGTCAGAGGCATTGTAATTGACTTCAAGCACCGGGGTTCTCTCGACGATCTCAGGAAACTTGCCGACACTCTAAGGAATCAAAAGCCATACAACGACTACTACAGTTATATTGGCTTGTTCTACCAGCTCTTCCAGTTGGATGGGACTTATTCCCTTAAGAACCTTGACAACCATAAGCTGAATGTTAGAACTACGTCGATGGAAACATTCCTCCGTCAAAACCCCCAGATCTAATCTTGGATATGGCATTCCGATCAAACAGGACAAACAAGGGAACGGATTCAATTATCTTAGGACAGATATAGGTGAACGCGTGGCTCATAGCACTACTGGTCCTGATAGCTCTTGTCATATTCAATTCAATAAACTTATATATTCGGACTTCCCGTATATATATCAGTATAAGCCATAATATCTTCGTTTCCTGTTCCTTCAAACTCGGGGAAGGCATTCAGCCAATCCAGGCTTGCAGATGACCATAACCTATCAGAGAGCAAGTCTTCATTTAGTAGTATATCTGCTGGGTTATCTATTTCAGGGACTTGCAAAGACTGGTTAGACAGCTGTGGCTCGCCAGTGACACCATAGCTTAGCTCTCCAGTTCGATCTGTACGGTATCGTAAGACGCGATTTTGTGAAGAGCGGGAGAGATAGGATCCTAATTTATCTAATCTTCAAGCTGGGTTCAAATCAAGTCCAAGTTCACATATCCTGACGAGTTCGCGCGAAGCCAATCACATCCAACAAGATGCTGCGATTCTTTCGAGATCATAACCGAAGGGTTACGAAACACATCACTTCTAGCCTGCTCCTGACCACAATGGCCATGGCATTTAGTGTGTTCACTTTCGGATTTGAGCAAGCTGTCTTCGATACTGTTCAGGCTATGACACGTAAGTCAAAGTTGTTCAAATATGCCCACCAGCGTACTGACGCAACATATTCGATAGCATTCGACCGACGATTCGGCGACTTTATCGAAAGAGATGGACAATATGGCTTCACAGCGTCCAAGCTTGCCTACCTCAATTCATTCCCGCTCATCACCTACGCGATCGGCGTTGTTGTCGCGTCTCAAATTGGCGAGCGACTCGGTCGTAAGCCCGTGTTCATTAGCATGAACTTCATCTGTATGACTGGAGTCATCGTCGTGCTGACAGCAAAGAGTTATAGCCAAGTGCTTGTCGGACGTATGACTTTAAACCTTCATGTGGGAACCGAGGCCTGGCTGGTGCCTATGTATCAAGCCGAGCTTGATTCAGCCGCAGTGCGCGGTTCATTCGTGTCTTTATATGCTTTCAACCATACCTTTGCCGGATTTATCTGCAGCATTATCACAAACTACACGACTAATTTCGACAATGACGCCTGTTGGATGATTCCTATCGGTTGCACTACCATATTCCCGTCCCTTGTTTTGGCTACCTGCTGGTTGGTGCCCGAGTCCCCGCGTTGGCTGCTACGTAAAGGCAAAATAGAAAAGGCCACGCAGAATATCATCTATCTTAATGGTACTACCCCCGATTACCCTGCTCAGCAAGAGGCCTCTCTGCTCCTAGAGGCTCTGCAACAAGGTCAGACGAGAGGCGACTGGTCCGATTTGGTCAAGGGAGTCAGCCTGGTATGTGTGAACAGCCATTTCCGGCCTTTGGAGTCACCACAACTAATCTCTGAACAGAAACGAACAATACACGGAGAAATTGCACTAGCACTTACACAACTTACCGGACGGCCTTTGCTTCGCAGTACGGCTCTATCTTCATCAAGAGTATCAATGTCATGAACGCATTCACCGCTACCATGATCAAGCGAGCTCTGTTATGCATCGGATGTCTGGTGGTCATTTTTTTTGTGGACAAGACGGGTAGACGGCGCATGTTCTTGGGTGGTTCGTTCATCACAGTAGCCGCACTTATGGTGATGGGCGGTCTCGGTACAATCGTACCGTCCACGATGGGTATTAAGAAGGGAATTGTTGCCATGGCGTTGATCTTTCCTGCCTCATATATAAATTCCTTTGGCACCACGTAAGTTTCTTCTTTTGAACACTTTCAGCCTTGTAACCTCACTAATTCCCCGTCTCCCTTGCAGCCTGCAAGTTTTTAAGAGCGAAGTGCCGCACGTCACTTTGAGAGACAAGTCTGTGATGATATTCTGGTCTATTGCCAACCTGTGTAACTTCGTGGCTACATTCACTCTCCCGTATCTTCTCCAAGCTCCATATGCCAACCTCGGCTCCAAGGTCGGCTTCATTTATGGTACTATTGCTACCTTGGGTTTGATCTGGGGTTATTGCTTCCTACCTGAAATGGCCAACAGGTCTCTCGAGGAAGTAGATGAAATGTTTGAATCTAAGGTTCCTGCATGGAGAAGTAGAGGTATGCTCTTCCTTTGCATCCAACAAGGTTATGGCTAACAGGAGTGGACAGAATGGAAGAGTACCTTTGCAGCGCGAATCACCGAGATTGAGAATACGGGAACCATACAACAAAGCACAAAACAGATCCAGCTTGGGGCAGAGGAGAGGGTAGAGAATGTTGGTACTATGTCAAGGTGATGGTAAATATAGGGATACTTATACGAAGATGCTAGTTCATCTTATATATCTAGACATTCAATTTACACAAGGTACATGATCTTTCTAAATTGGAATTGATCTTTTGCATGATATATCATTATCTAAACAGCCAGAATCCAGCCAGCCTCATAGTCAGTGCCTCGCGAATCCCCACTAGCTTCACCATAATGATGCACCGGCTCATTGCTCTCCTTCTCTTTGATGAAAGGTGCCTTGTAGTTGTCAAAGTACATCCTGGACTGGTTTTCATAAAACGAGTCGAATGATTTGCTCATGGCGTCTGTTAGCGACGCGACGTCGCCGTCTAGGTGTAGTTCCAGCCAAGGGCGAGAACACGCCTTGCCTTTGCAGTCCTTCATCACCATGATCATTGCGTCCAGTCGATGCAAAAGGGCATGCACTGAACGTTTGGTGATCCTCAATTGCTCACACCCTACCCTTATGTCAGATTTGTGTCATGGTTCGCCATGGCTAGAGGTCATCAATGGAAGCGGAACTGACAAAAGACCTGCATTCTCTGTTATTATTCAAAGAGGGTCTGTAGATGAGCTATTGATTTATTACAAAGAGAACGGTGTTTGGGATTTCCCGTGATTTGGGCTCAATTGCGTCATACATTAGAATATACTACGAAAGGTTCAAATATATATCACTGCTTTTTTAAACTATTAATAAAACTAATATTTTTTATAAAACAAAATATATTTCTATAGTTAGAACTATAAGTTATTAGTAATAACTATAAATTTATATAATCTTAACTTAATAACTGTTATAGGCAATATTGCATTAGCAGATATTTCTATAACCGATAAATCACTATATGCACTTCCCTCAGCATTAAATACACCTAACACCAACTTATTTCCCATTGATTCAATATGCCACCGCACCCTTTTAAAATATCAATTCATGCTTTTCAACGAAGAACGCCGACAGTAATGACGCCTACAGCTCGGAGAAACACGAAAGCATGTGCCAGCTGCCACGTGCGCAAGGTCCGCTGCGACGTGGCCCGAGTCGGGTTTCCCTGCACGAAATGTAGAGCAGACGAGTTCGAGTGTGTCACCCACATCCGGAAAAGGAGAGAGACGAAAACAGAGAGAGCCAACAGTGATAGGTCGCAGTGCGCCATCCAACCTCATCAGGCAAACTCTATCCCCGAACACATGATGCGCTATAAGTTTCCCTACTATGCCTTCTTCAGGGGATTTGCGCCCCGAGGTCACGCTTGGTTTCAGGCAAGGGATCAGAATCATGGTGTGCTTCTACCGGTCCCCATGCACGACCAGTCAGCCCCGTACATCGTGGGGCTGAACGACAGGCCAGCTGAGGACATCCAATTCTTGAAAGCAAAGGGCGCCTTGGATCTGCCATCAAAGGAGGCCATCGACATTTTCGTTTCCGACTACTTTCGATTATTTCATCCCTTCTTCCCCATAATAGACCGCCAGAAGTTCTTGAAGAGCCTCCGGGAGAGTCATAATGACTCAACATCTTCTTGCCGCAGACCAAGTCTACTGCTGTTACAGGCCGTTATATTCACAGCCAGCTCTGTAGGCACTCTCTATAAACTTAGTAGTCACTATTCTAACGTTAACTAGAGTGTTCCCGTTGAAACAATCCACGCGATCGGATTCTCAAGCCGGAAGGAGGCACGCAATGTCCTCCATGGCAGGATCAGAGTAAGCTCTTGTCGACAAAAACATTCTGCTCAAACGTTTTAACAAGCCTAGCACCTGTATAATTTCAACTACGAACCAGATGACGTTACCAATATTCAGGCCTTACTACTCATGAGCCATTACTTCCCGTCCATGATGGACCAGAAGCACACCTGGCTCTGGGTGCACCAAGCCATCAGCTTGGCCCAAGGCGCCGGGCTGCACCGTGACTCTGGCCGAGCTACGCAGAAGAAGCTGTGGGCAAGAATTTGGTGGGCGTGTCTTATCCGGGACAGATTAATAGCTTTGGGAACAGGTCGTCCGATGCATATTAACAGCCTCGACTGCAATGTCCCGCAGCTGGTTTTAGCTGATTTGCAAGAAGAAGGTGACGAACAAGATGATCTAAACGTAAAGGCAATTTTTGTGGAATTCGCTAAGCTCTGCCAGTACATGGAAGGGATACTCACCCTGCCACTGGCGAGTAGCGAGACACTCCCCAAGCAATTGGAGCTTTGCCGAAAGACGCTGGCCCATTGGTACACGCACCTCAACCCTGTTGCATTGAGATGCATGACACGAGACATTGACGAGGAGAGCGTGGGAGTATTAGCCCTCTACAGGGGGGTTCTCCATTTGATCTACAAGTGGGTTGCAACAAAGTTCCCGTGCTGAGTGATAACTAACGAACATAGTACTCTACAACTGGCTCTCCATCATTCTGGCCGTGTCTTGCAAGACAATCAAGCTTCCACTTCTCGTGTGCCCTCGCCCGAAGTCCAAGCATTGGCCGAAGACTCTGCTCGGCTAGCGGAAGGCCTAATGAAGCTTGAAATGATTGGGGCTCCAACAATATGGTCAGTATCTTTACTATTCATGGAAGAACATTCACTTATCGTACCTACGTAGCGTCACTTCTATTCTTCCGCCAATAGCGATACATCTACAGGGTCTGCGACTTAAAGGAGAAGACTGTGAAAAGAGGCAGTCAAAGATCCATTTCCAGACCTGCATGCAGTTCCTCAAGAGGCTCGGTGAAGTGTATTGGCACGCTAACTTTTACCATGACATATTTGAACTTGCTGCGTCGACTCCCTTGTCAAGAGTGGTTACTGGAGCCAAAAACCCAATACAAGCTACGGGAAGACGCTCACAGTTTGGTGAGAGGCTTCTCACAGACAGAAATGAGATGGGCAGAGATAACTCCGACTCTCACGCAGGATTGAGCACACTGACGACAAACGAAATTGAGTTCGCTTTGTCGACTGAATCTGCAATGTCCAGCACTTTCTTCGGATATAATGGGGACGATTTGCAGGATGTCAATGCAGTATTTGGAGACGAATCTTTGGTAGATGGTGATTTACTTAACTCTTGGTTCGATGATAATCTATTTTTACAAAACATATTTCCATTAGTTTAATATTCAATATAATTATTAAGTTATTTATTATATTCAGATATTAGTCTAGTATCTTCTATATTATTTCAAATTTCAAACTTGAACTTATTTCTATATACTTATTGAGTTGGTATGAAGAAAGATAAGATGAGTTCTCTTAGGTTTCAGTTAGAAGAGAACAAAAATCATATATATTAATATTAAAAGACCATAGAATTTTAAATGGTGATATTGGCTTGGGCCGATGTTTGTTATTATAGGTAGTATATGTTTGATTCGCAGCTCTATTTCCCCTCTACCACTTGATTAGACTTGGGTGAGTCCAACAAGATATTCTGCCCTCTTATGATCTCTAGGAATTTCTAGGAGCTCAATAAACATATCTAAAGTTGGGGTTCTGCTTGTCCGTCAAATTCTGGAATGCAGTGGCATTCAACCCTTCGGCACTATCATCCACGACACCTTCAGCCTGCCTTTCTATGCGGTTCTTCTCCTTGCGCCCGTTCTCCCATATGAATGCGTACCTAAAAACGAAGAATAGTAGAAATTCGATTACATTCGCCGCCAGCAGTGAGGCAATTCCAGAACGATATGAAGGCGCCTCGCTCGTCTTGTAAAAGAAAGGACTGGCGATGCTGCCAACGCACGAGCCGAACCAGATCATACCTGATACAATCATCTTCTTGGATTGACCACCAGTGTTTCCTGTTACTAGGGAGAGGCTGATGACGAACGAAGCTTGGTATGAACCGGTCAAATAGCTGGTAATTTAGATTAATGTCTGTAATTTGTGGACAAGATAGGAAAACGATGGTAGCCTTACAAGCATATAAGTCGGCCAACGTATGCATCTCGAGGAGCCAGTAGGAAACCTAAAGCCCCAGCCATTGTCGGAATCATGAAGATTGCGCAGACAATAGTCCTGCTGTTTTGTGGCATATATTTGTTGGCCAACGCCCCAAGACCAATCCAAATTACCACGATAACACCCTGCGGAATACCAAGTAGAGTAGTGTGAAGAGTATCAAAACCGAGGCCTTGGATAACAAGGGTGCTAAAGTTTGAGATACCTCCGTTGGGAATAGCTGACACAAATCCGAGAAGAGTGAAGAGCCAGGTTTTATAATCAAGGTAGGCTTCTTTGATCTGTGACCAATCGACCTTGCGCTGCTCGACACCTGTCTGGTTCTGGCGCATCCGGGCAATCATGAGCAACCTTTCCTTGTGAGTGAAGCCCCAGAATGTTGTAGGAGAGTTAGGGAGTAAGATAGCAAGGAGAAGTCCCCAGAAGGAACAGAGTGCTCCCGCAATGAGAAATTCATATCGCCACGAGGCTAATGCTCCTTTGATGTTTCCGATTCCGTATCCTAAGTCCACATTAGCCTTGCATTACCAACATGATCCTGTAAACAAACCAATAAGTCCACCACCGGCGACACCGATTCCGTTCCACGCATACCATGCTGAGATCCGACTTGGTTGTTCTTCCCTGGTGTAAAACATTGAGGTGAAGAGCATAAAGGCTGGGTCTGCAATGGCCTCAAAGGCCCCGGAAAGCACCCGGAGAACAGTCAATGTGGTGAAGCTGTGGGAAGCAGCTTGACACATAAGCAGCGCACCCCACATGAAGATGTTGAAGGCAAGGTAGTATCCGGGAGGACAGTGTTGCATAATGAGGTTGGAAGGGATGGACCAAACAAGCCAGCCAAAGTAGAAGACACTTGACAGCCAAGAATACTCAGTCCCCTTTAGTTCGAGATCATCCTTGATGCCAAAGATCGCAGCATAAGAGAGCGTTGTTTTATCCACATACTGAGTCGTTAGTTATGGTAACCCTTGTTTTGGATCAATGGCTTCCCACTCACGTAAAAGAAGTAGCAAATGCCCAACACGGGCAGAATGCGTCGGTCAATCTTGCGCTTCAGCTTTCGCTCTTCCTCCTTGTCGATGCATTCGTCGTCTGGGTACGTTTGAATCGCTTCGAGGTAGAGTTCGGCGTTTTTCTGCTTGATCAAGTTCACCGAGGGAACTTGCAGGCGGCCCTTGACATCAACATGTTCACTATGGCGAGTCTCCTCTGCCTGCTCTTTGACATGGCGATCCATGATCTTTTGTCCAAGTTAAGAAATACCGAAAGAGAAGGATTAGAATTGTACTCCTGAGATGAGTTGTTGTTGGGAGTCGGAGAGATCTGGCGAGGACAAGCAGGTTTAAGTAGAGTCTGACTTAGGCAAAGTCGGATGTGTCTGTTAACGACGCGTAGTTGCGAGTCTTGGTGGTAGACATCGTGTTGAACGAAGGCCCTCCACTAGGGTTTCTCCGCATGTTCCCCCCATCCGATTCTGGGTATGTAGTGTCTGGCCATATTCTGGGGTAAGCTTTTCTCAAGTGCTAGACAAGCTAGTCAAAAGTTGATGGCGCCAAGCTCTCTGGTCCGTCCACTTTAATACCCACAAGAGAGAGCGTCAGCCTATTAGGAGAAGAATTTCGGAATTTCGGCTCTTTCTCTAGGAGGAGCAGAGTCAGGGCATTGTCAACAGCTGAGGTAGCTAAACGCCGAAGCGCCGAGTATCGCTCTCCCATTGGCCCCCGCTCATCTCTCACCTCCCAGCCTTGTCGTTAGTGATCTGGGGAAGAAGAACCTTGTTTACATGATCAAAACGCCGAAGCCCCGAGACAACGCTTGTGATTGGCTACAATAGGCATGGTGACCTAGACGCTCATAGTGGAGAAGTGGAGAGGCGTGGGGGTGAATAAAGTCCGATCAAAGGAGGGTTGGTGTTCCGATATTGAGATATTCATTTATTTAAAGGGTACCAAGACGACGTTTGGCTGATTGAAACAGCATGAAATCACACCTTGCTTCCCCGTTCTCTGGTATTCTCTCCTTCAACTTCAACTACGTCCCTACATGATGGCCCCTGCCGCTGTCCATAATGATACTCCTGCGAGTGCCGTGGGCCTTCAGCAGGCTCCGCGTGGCTTCAACTTGCCAGAGTCCGAAATCTTGATCACGGGCTTCGAGACATATGGTAAAGCTTGGCATCTTTGTTCAAATTTATGACAAGGATTAACAGTCGAGGATAGATCTAAGGTTTCCCACTAGTCTGGATGCGTCGGGTTCAGATGCCATGAACCCTGCTGGAGATTACAGTGCCACTCATGTACAGTTGAAGACCAACACGGAACTCATTGGGCACGGCATTGCTTTCACCATCGGACGCGGCAATGAACTTTGCACGGCAGCGGCCAAACTGATCGCAGAGCGGTTGCTAGGCAAATCGCTTAAGGAACTGACGGAAAACATGGGACAGACGTGGAGATATCTCGTCGCCGACTCCCAACTGAGGTGGGTGGGCCCCGAAAAGGGCGTCATTCATTTGGGCCTGAGCTCCTGCGTGAATGCCCTCTGGGATCTTTGGGGGCGTTATCTCGGCAAGCCTGTCTGGAAGCTGGTATTTGACATGACGCCCGAGGAATTTGTGTCGTGTATCGACTTTCGCTACATCACAGATGCCATCACACCAGAAGAAGCCATTTCCCTGTTGCGGGAACAAGAGCCGACCAAGGCTACGAGATTCAACGACGCCTTGAAGAGTAAGGCCGTCCCGGCATACACTACGCAAGCGGGGTGGCTTGGATTTTCAGATGAGCGAATGGTTGAGATCATCCACGAGAATCTATCTGTAGGAATGGACAAGTTCAAGCTCAAAGTTGGGGGGAACATTGATGAAGACATCCATAGACTAGAGCTCGCACGCAAGACCATAGGCTACGACCGAATGCTCATGGTTGACGCGAACCAGGTGTGGAATGTCCCCGATGCCGTTGAGAACATGAAGCGGCTTGCTCAGTTCAAACCACTGTGAGAACTGTTCCCCTTTCTGCCCGAGACATTAATGACGTGATACCTGACCCTTTTCTAGCTTTATCGAAGAGCCTACCTCTCCAGACGACATCCTCGGACATGCAGCGATCCGCAAGGCGCTCAAACCTTATGAGATTGGCGTCGCCACTGGTGAACATTGCCAGAACCGAGTCATGTTCAAGCAGCTCTTGCAAGCAGGGTCGATCGATTACTGCCAAATCGATGCCTGTCGGCTAGGTGGCGTCAACGAAGTGATGGCAGTCATGTTGATGGCTAAAAAGTACGTTCTCCCAAGCACATCATTGCACAAAGAATTCAACTAACGAGCTGGCCAGGTTCAACACCCCAATCGTCCCGCATAGTGGAGGCATCGGCCTCAACGAATACACCCAACATCTCGCTTTGATAAATTACCTGTGCGTGTCGGGCGAAAAAAGCTTGCTCGAGCACATCAATTCGTTTAGAGAGGTCTTGATACACCCCGTCGAGACGGCAGATGGGTACTTTGTCACTCCCTGGGAGTCGGGATATAGCGTAGAGTACAAGAAAGAGGCTTTGACTAAGTATATCTTTCCATCGGGCGACTTCTGGGTAAGCGAGCAGGGCATGGCTATTCGAAATGGAATTAAGGCTTGAGTATCACACTATGTTCAGTTTTTTAATAGTTTTAGAGGCTAAGGAAGATTTCCATTGAAACCATATTCTATTATCCCTGGCAGAAAAGTAGAGAATTGAGTTTGATCCTCTAGATCGGAAGAGGGGGATAGCATGAAAAGACTGTTTCCCAAGGATCTCTTAACTCTAAGAGGGTCAAGTTGGAGATGAAGGGGTGCTCTTACTCAGTTATGGTCGGTACTTTTTCCTAATAAGAATAGCCCTGAAAGGATGGGTAGAGGCATCGGCCAATCTCCATCCATTTCTTCTCCAACCTCTGGGAGTTGAATTTTGGCGACACCTTCTATTCACTCTATTATTGGAATCACATAGCTAAAATTTACACGCCTACATTAATATATGCTCCTTAATCTTGACTTCGTTCTGAGAATGGCTTCCCCAACCCCAACCATCAACTCCACGACTCTCGATGAATTTCTGACCAAACATCCAGAGATTGTTATCGGCCGAGATCAATTTGAGAAACTTCGAGACGAGGCAGACGTTGCAACAAATTACAACACCTTTGAAGCCGCCACCGATCCTTTCGCCAATTCCGTTTTGGTTCAGAAATTTCAGGGCGACACAAACGAGCGCCTATTTGCAGTCGTTTAGTTGAAGATGAACAGGCAGAGAAGTTCTACTGGGAGAAGACAACTGGACGAAAATGCGATCTTTGCCTTGTTCAGGTAGCAAAGCAAAATCCAGAGGAGCTCCTACTGCCTCACGTACCCCTTGGAATACAGGGTCCATGTAATCACGTGAACAATCGCTTATTTTTACATTTTATGATGACTCATTCCCTCGATTCCTGGCTTCTTAATCCGCATAGACTATATATCCAGGATTTACATTCATTAAACTCTTGGAAGGTCTGTCCCCCAATCACGCACAATTTTACAACTTGAGTACTAATAGTAACCGACACTTTTTGTAACAAGATGTCTTTCCCAAACCCCAATCTCTGCACTGAAAAGCTTACCCTTCGTCCCGCCGTCCCTTCCGATGCGGCCCCTCTCGCAGCCATTTTTGCAAGCCCTCTCAACACCCAATATGAACCTCACAAGCCAAGCAACACAACGGTAGAAGAATACCAAGGCCGAATCGCCAAATGGGAAGACCTACGCGCTCGCGGTCAAGCTTACTTTCTCGTCATAACTCGACGCCCAGCAACAGAGACGGGTTCTGCTTCACCACCTGCTAGTGACGTTATCGGCTTCGGTGGCATTAACGCCATTTCTACGGACGCTCAGGGCAAGCGGATTGCGGACTTGGGCGTGTTGATTGACAGCTCCGAGTGGAGGAAGGGGTACGGGCGCGAAGCGTTGCAGGCTACGTTGGACTTTGCATTCCGGAAGGTGGAGGCAGGAGGCGTCGAATGCGACGAGGCTTTTTTTGAGACCTTGGCGGTGAATACGCCGTTTCAAGGACTTGCTGATCGGATGGGGATGGCGAAGTGGAAGCAGGTGAAGAGCGACGGAAAGGAGCTTGAATATAGGTTTAGTAAAAAGGATTGGGAGGGATTGAGGAATAGCTGATGTAATCCAGATCACTTAAAGGCTAACTACTAGTTCAAAGAGATATAACGTTTATCTAGAATAAGGAATTTCTTAGCACAATACAGATATATTACTTACCTGTGTCTGCAAATAACTTGATCAGCGAATACTAGATATTCCCTTGTCTGGAGTCTTGCACGCGAAGGTTTATGTCTTTGTATGTTTCCCCGAGCTTCTTCATGCCAGCCTGCAGTATCGCTCCGTCCGCGCCACTCAATGACCATGTGGCTCCCATCTGGAAGAACCTCTCTAACAAATCCAGACGCCCTCCGATGCCTCCGATCCCAATCGGCTTCCCTGACTTTACTCCAGCTTCAATGACGCGTTCAACCGCATTTTGGTATGCGGGAGTGTCATATTGACCAGGGATACCAAGGTCTGTGCATAGGTCATTAGATCCAATCAAGATGCCATCCACGCCCTCAATGGCCAAGAACTCATCAGCCAAATCAACCGCATCAGGAGTTTCAATCATTGGGATAATCATAGTATGTCGGTTGAGCAGATCATTTTGCTGCAATGTTGGGACATGCTGGAAGTTGAGAATGACTTGGTTGTTTGAACAGCCGCGGCGTCCTATCGGCGCATACTTTGCGTCCTTGACGATATCTTGAACTTCGGCCACCGTCTCACAGTGTGGAATAACAACAGCTGCAGCTCCGGCGTCGAGAATACGACTGAGGTGCCAGTGAGAGTTGGAAGGTATTCGCACAATAGGACTAACACCAACGTAATTGCAGGCAGTGATGAGTTGTGATACTTCGCGTATCGTTAAAACAGAGTGCTCCATATCGATAAACATGCCGTCAATGCCGGCCATTTTGACCATCATGGCCACTTAATTGCTGATGAAGAACTTGCAGGTCATGACGGAGCAGATCTCCCCCCTCATAATCCGGTCGCGCCATGGATTCGATACCGTAATAATTGGTATATGAGACGACCGTCTTGGCGGCCCTAAAGCTGTCCGAGTAGATAGCGACCGCAGTATCAAGACCGGCTAGATTATTCTAAATCATTTCTAACACGCCTGGTACCGCGATGATTCCAGAACGGTATAAGTCCGTGATCAGAGGCAGGAAAGCAGCCACGGCATCGGGCTTTGCCTCGAGTAGACATTTGAGACTTGATTGTTGAGGTATGCCCTTGTCTCGGTCTGTGGAGATGAGCTCTGACGTGGCACGCTCTAAGCAGGGTCACTCAGCTCGCCTCTCCCTGCTCATACCCAGGGCTCGGTCATCCCATTCGAGGCTTGTCATTCTTCTCCACATACGTGTGATGGGGACTGGAGCTTGCTGCAGCTGGTGAGGGGCTATACGAGGGCCAGTTTTCAGCTTTCAGCTTTCGGCTACAGAAGGGTAATCATCATGCCTGTAAATATAAGATGAGCCCTTCATTGAACCAACAGCGGGCGATGGCACACTCATTTCAACCCTCAACATAATTAGAACAACGGCTAAGCTCGTTAGAAACGTGCCTCCAGCCCCGCTTCCTCCAACACAATACGCATCAGCTTCAACCCTCACAAAATCGCTCGAGATGCGACTACTGCATACAACATCATTTCGTCTGAAGGAATAATTTGATGAGGAGGTCCCTGATTACGCTATTCTCTCGCATACCTGGGGGGGAAAAGAGGTCAGCTATCACGACATTCAATCCCAAAGTGACCCAAATAGCATAGATGGCTTCGATAAGATAAAGGGCGCTTGCGCCTTTAGCCGCCAAGGAGAAATACGATATTATTTGGATCGACACGTGCTGCATAGACAAATCGAGCAGCTCAGAGCTGTCAGAGGCCATAAACTCTATGTATTCATGGTACCAACGGGCTGCCGTGTGTTACGCGTACCTCACAGATGTACAGTTTCTACCAGGGGCGGAGGATGATATTGTCATTCAAGAACCACTAAAAATAAGTTCTCCCAGAATAGCTCCACGATTATAGCTAACATCTACCACAGTTCACCTGCTGCGTCTAGTCAATCGGAACCCAACAACACTTCATCCCCACGACCACCCATTTGGAATTTCGAAGAGCCTGAATTCAGGAAGTGTCGGTGGTTTACAAGAGGATGGACCCTTCAGGAGCTTGTTGCTCCCAAAAAGCTTTTTTTTTATTCTCGCGACTGGAACCTTCTTGGCTCTAAAGATTCATTGAGACACTTGATTTCAAGCATCACGGGCATCGACTGCAGTATTCTCGCAGGAGGTGATCTTAAACTAATTTCTGTGGCCCGAAAGATGTATTGGGCTTCCAAGAGGACAACTACGAGAAAAGAAGACATAGCCTATTGCTTGATGGGTATTTTCTCAGTCAACATGCCTCTTTTATATGGCGAAGGCGAGAGAGCATTCCTCCGTCTACAGGAAAAGATAATCACCATGAACGACGATCAGTCCATCTTCGCCTGGACGCTTCCTCGCGATGAAGTAGAGACAAAACGTCTGCATGGGTTGCTTGCCCCCTCCCCTCGAGCTTTCATGGATACTGGCCGGAAGGTATGGCTTTTTCCTCCGATACATCGAAGAAAGCGAGCCATCAGAGTTATCAATAGTAATTTGGAGGTTGAGGTCATCTTACGATCACATGAGCATACATCGATTTCGCAGCCTTCTGAGCAGTCTGGGTTCAAAGACAAGGAGGGTGATTCTTTCAAACACTGTTTCTCGGTCGTACTTGATTGCCAAATGGCTGGTTCAAGTGATTCCTGGGCCTGTATTGACCTGATGGAACTAAATCCACGGGATGGACTGGGTGGCAGATTATTTGCACGGGTCCGCCCTTGGGATTTTACTAGTGTCTCACCGAAAGGGGATGTTATGACCAACCGTGTTTATCATGCCTTACACGGTGGTCGTTTCCCTTCACAAGAGTGGCCTGCATCCCTCATTGGTACGTATTTACCAATCCCGAGAATATTACACAGTTGCGACTAACTAAGAGGATTTAAATGCTTATCTAGAGGGATGCAGTCTGATGTGGAACAGTTTCTGGCATAGTACCATGCCGTGGAATTTACAAACTATCTCGGCGCCACATAACCCACAATATCCCATGCCTCTTGGATTTAGTCTTCAGTTGGATAATGCGCGGTTCGCAGTCGCAGGTTTTCCGGTCGATCGGTCGTATGAAGACGACAAGATATTGCAGATGGGCTACCATGACCAAACTAGGAGACAAGATACACTCAAAAGGCTCCGGGACTCAAAAGAACGTGACATCCCCCAGAGATATACTACCGACCTGGATGAAGTCCTGATAATGCAAGAATCCTCAAGAGTGGAGGGCATTATTAAAATAGATTCAAAGACAGACTCTTCGGTATCTATAGCGTTGGTATTAGGTGTTAGACTTGTGTTCTTTGGTGACTCGAGGTCTCGAACGCCGTGGTGCCGACTTATTTCTAGCGAAACAACAGAGAAACCTGAAAATATCAACTACCAAATCGACTGGAAGGAGACCGATACATCAAGCATCAAATTATCTGAAAAGCTACAAGCGAGTGTAGAAAAGGCTGATAGCAACGGGCTCTTTCAAGTAAAAGTAGTTATATATAATTGACTACGGAGTATTATAATAGTTATAATAGTTATAAAAGGATTTCAGCGCCTGATAATAAATTTAGCAGTTATGTATTATATTCGCACGCTACCTATATTATTTTAACAACTCTCTTATCATTAGTCTTGACTTTTAGATGTAGAGCTCCTTGCCTATTGAGGGCGTGTAGAACCGCCTTAAGATATAGAAGCCTTTGCTTGAGGAAAAGTTATATAATCCAGGTCGGCTGCTTATTTTCTTTGAAATCCTTATTCTTACCTTTTACTTTTAATTTATTCCTGCGATTATAATCTTGAATTACCTAGTTAACCTAGTTTTACTGGCGATGCCTCGATCCGATTTGGCCAAGGTCTCAAGTACCTTTACAATTGGCGGAAGGGCGATGGTCTTGCTTTCTTCACTCCCAATAACATCTACACTCCAGTGGCGAGCCTGGAACTAAAATGGGCTGGTGGTGTTCTAGCTCGGCCAATCTTACCTAGAGTGATGTGCTAAAGATGCCGCCTCCTAATGTGCGCGAGGATCAGCAACATCGCGAGATATAGTAATATGTGACGCAGAAACTCCATTAATCTAGGTAGGTTCTATTTGTTGACTTCGTGGTATGAGTGTGCCGCATCTTGACACTGGTAATAGTGCCATCACCAAGCTCGGCAAAATAGACCATATCGGCGCTACACATGTCGAGGGGGGAGTGTCCGTGGGCCAGGGCCGCCACAGGTCACGACATAGCATATTTTTCCAATGGGCGCGTGCCATTCTTAGTGAGGTCTCAGACTTTGAATCAATCGTTTCCTGGAACATGAAAATTCGGAGTTAGCGCTGTGCAAAGAACGTGTGAAGAGCAAGAAAGACAGGGATGCCGCGGTGTAGTAGATTGAGCGGGAGAGTCTCTTTTCCCAATGGCAAGTATGTATTGTGTCGACAATGCTGTGTAAATTGCCGTTTCAAGCAATGTGATGTACCCGGAAGCTCACCGCTTTTTAAAATAAGACACGTTGGATAAAATAACACGTGTTTTTAAGTAGTAGTAAAGACAGATCATGACCATGGGCGACAACATCGGGGGAACTTAGCCCTGGGTTTTCGCTCCAAATGTGTTAGCTCCTGGACGAGACCGTTACACCGTGCGCACATATGGAAGCAATGTCTAGTTTCTTCGTCCCTAGCGTGTGAACATCTAATTCCAAAGGATCCTCATCTTCTCTCAACTGCATATAACCCTTGATCCATTTGACCTTGCTAGATTCCTACGTTAGATGGTTTAAGTAGGGTTGCGATGCATGTGATATTGATCAGGGAGCCCCCTCAGCGGCCCGATCATCCAACAAATGGGAGTAAGAGGGCTCCAACAAATCAATGGATAACATCTCATCTTAGCACTTAACTTAGGCTGGATAGGACCATGAGCACATCTTGGTCAAGTTAGTAGAGGCAAACGACCGGACTTTTGAACAGCCCACACGCATCCAGACAGCGGCAGCATATTTGCCGAGTTCTATCACTAGAATCTATCTATCTTCAGCACAGGCCCACGCATCTTTTTCGATTAGGAAACGCTAGTGTCCGATGACTTCTTTCAGAGGCTGGCAGAATGTGGCGATATTCTCGGCTTAATTCGAAATCAAATTGTCGATCATGCGAAACTGATCTAATCAAATCATTGGTTCCAGCTTCCTGTCTAACTGGCTCTAGTATGCCCACCTTCTCAAGGTGTGGTTGCAGTAGATAATGGCGGAGAACATATTCTAATCTTTCAATCACCGGTGTCCTCTAGTAGATGGGAACCCAGTCACTGGGGGTGTCAGGCTTCAGTCTTTGTCTGTCCAAGTACACTAGGCGGGGTTTACAGCTGTTACACTCAGTGACTGTGTGTTCATCTTATACTGAAATCAATCTATAGGAGATCAAAGCCGGACGTATCCACTCACCGAGGAGGCTGAAAGTTGAACAATGCTATGTTCATCCCACTAGAAAACCGATGAATTGCACATGACTCGACCTATAGCCCTTCTGTAGCATCGTATGTTGTACAACAGTGTGTGTGTCATAGTCCTAGGGAGGTGTCAGGCCACCATCTCTCTTGCAGATCTTCCAAATCGTGCCCTTTGTTGCCGGGGATGCCGAGTATACGGCGCATTTGATTCCGAAGCCACGACTGGGGAATACTCAAGCTTCCTCTGGTTGGTCGGGAGTTTCTTTGGTTGTTCAACATCCTCAGATGACAACTCATGTTCGTACTTATTTACCCACCTGCCCAATCCTCCATGTCAAAAAGCTCACGTGCGACCAACAACGATTCCTAGGCGCCATCTCATACCTAAAACAGGGACTCTTGCAGCGAAAATGCCTGGGTCTATAGATTAAAGATATTACGAAGAGACCACTCAGAAGCTAATCACTATCATACCGCCCACCGTCACCGCAAATTCACATGCTCCTGTACCCGCCTTCTAAGCCAAGAACGTTACGTGATAATGCAGTGCCAAGTAGCACAGGGTCCGATCCAAGAAGCAGCCGCTCTGACCCAATCCAATAGCAACGTCGTAGAACAGGATACGGATGGGTTACTTAGGCTAAAGTTAGGCCCCCCACGTTTCACTGCAAGGATCTACAACCCTCAAACCCCGCCTCATGACTGCCGACATAATGCAAGCTGAAGCTATTGCAACATAAATGCATGGTTCTGGATTACCCGCAATCAGCCGCGAGTATAACCTTAACTTACAACGCGTACTCTCACAGCCTGGTTGGTAAATCCGGCGAGTGTGGAAATTACATGTGACCGAATTGAGTTGTGCTGGTCCAATTGGGGAAGTGCAAAGAGGAAAAGAGTGCAGAGAGCAAGATGTTTTAGGAAGTGGAAAGCTCACCGGAGCGTAAGGGTCCTTAGAAGGTACTATGGTGCGTAGCGTTTGATAAGCGTACCCACGCTTGATACAACATGAAGCACGCTCGGTCATGCTACTCGAGACGTCTCGTGTCCCAGTTGAGAGTCAGCGCATTGATAGGACGTCTAAATTCTTCACGCTATACCAAAAAGACTCTTTCAAGTACGTACATTCATATTTCCGAGCTCTTAAAACAGTTAGATTTATGACACGGGTCTCAGAAGTGTACATGCCTCATTCAAAAAGAGACATGGTTGAACAAAGACAAGGGTGTCTCTTTACAAGGCTCATCAATTGCGACTCAAAAGAGAGACTGTTCATCTCCAAGAGTGCACACCGCACAAAAGATACAATTCCAGAAACGTATCATCTGTGGCAGCTTCCGAGCTCCGTAAATAGTTAGATTTGATATGGCTTGGCACGATCTTCAGAGATTATAAAAGAACTGCCCAGTGTGAAATAGAAAACTTGAGGTTTTAGTTGAAACACAGAACAATTTCTTCTCCACTTCTCTAAAGTCCAAGATCAAGAAAACCTTACATTCGAAATGCATCGATCATTCATGGGGGCGTTAGCACTTGCTGCCCCGGCTTGTGTCAATGCTATGCTACGATTCTCCTGTTCAGAACTTGTTATCGACCGTCTTGATCCGTGAGTGGCCTTTTGACTACTAAAGGCTCAGTAGACTAAACTCTCTGTCCAGGCTTGTACAGCCTGGAATGATGCCATCTGGCCATGTTCATCAAGTCGCTGGCGGGGTTAGTAATGCCATCAAGACTGTGACTATATGTCCGGTATTAAATTGGTCATTCTAGAATGCTTTCAACGTGACTATGGATCCGTCGATCCACCTGCCCGATATTTCCACTTGCACCACTTGCACTTTTTCAGAGGACCACAGTAACTACTGGACCGCCAATCTATACTACCGCAGCCGCTCTGGCACCTTGACTCGCGTTCCTCAAATGGCCAATCAATATCTTGACGGGGCCAACGGTGGCATGACTGTTTGTAAGGGGACCTGTGGGATATTATGTACCACATCCATACTAATATAGACTTCTGTTTAGACTACATTCAACCGTATGACGGCTCTAAGGCCACAGCCTTTAAACCGGTAAGCCACACCCGTTCCAGACAAGTCGTACCATCAACCAAGGCCGTGCTGATACAAAGCGCTAGGGCTTTCGAATGCTCGTCGGCAGCCCAATGGTCCGAGGCCCTTCCAATTCGAATGATGCTCAACAAAGCAGCTTCCGCTGCTTCGAACAGAACTTTGGAGGGGTGAATGCTCCTCCGGGTGGGGGCTCGGACACGAGAGACTTCCCCAAGCGGCCCTGTCCGGGAGGTATCCGCACCAACTTGTTCTTCCCTACCTGCTGGGATGGTGTCAACGTTGACAGCCCCGACCACAAGAGCCATGTCGGTAAATACATCCCTAATATTAATCAAAAAGAGCTGCTGTAGGTTCAGTTCTAATTGATGATCCGTAGCCTATCCTGTGGGAGGAACCTTCGAGATGAACGCTCCGTGCCCGAGCTCTCATCCAGTCAAGCTGCCGCAGCTGTTCTACGAGATTGTGTGGGACACTCGTCAATTCAACAACCAGAATGACTGGCCCACTGATGGCTCTCAGCCGTTCGTGTTCAGTTTCGGCGACACTACCGGGTACGGTCAGCACGGTGATTACATGTTTGGTTGGGAGGGTGATTCTTTACAGAGAGCCATGGACCAGCAATGCAATGTTTTCTGTGGAACTCTCAAATCCCAAGATGTCAACACTGCGAATCGATGCACCATTCCCAGGCGTGTCAATGAGCAGATTGATCAAGGTGAGCTGGCTTTCCACCCATTCTTCTTCGTCTGATCAGCAAAGGTTACTAAGGAAATATCCAGGCTTGACCAAGCTACCAGGCAATAACCCCATTACCCCTTAATTGCCCAGAGACTGTGAAATTGAGTACCATCGTGGTCTTCAGATTTTGATAGGGATTTCACCATGAGTCATGGATTGTTGGGCACCTTGGCTTGGAACTATTTGGGGAATAGAATTGGAATGGTTAGTTCTTTTGATAAACCATAACATATATCTATACAACCCATCATCAAAACGTGTAGTTCCTATTTGGCAAATTTCTTAATGATAAAGTTCCTTTCTTACCATTGTGTTGAGTCGTTGGGCTCTGGGAGCTTCCATTGCTGTTGAACGTAATGATCTTTCTCTTATGTCCCTGTCCTATAATGTCTTACTTGGTAGAAAACTTGACTAGTTGGTCGAAAAGCAAGCCCAAGACAAAGGTTCCTAACCAGCTCACTTATAGATAGTGACTATCTATAAAGAGACAATGCAAGTAATATCTGGATTTTCATTTAACCAGGAGGCTTACACTAATACAGTTACAGGGGCACTCTCTCGATTTTGATCTCTTTAAGTATAAATACCACATTTTGAATTCATAATATGCTGTGACTATGCATTCACTCATGTCTTAACCTCCAGAGGTGTAAGCTTGAGATGCATGCCGTTCTCAGGCTTGATAGTAATAACACCCCTGGGCATCACCAATGCGTCGTCCATCGCCAGCGTCCAAGAGAAAGATCTCACCATAACAGCTAGTAGGCATCGCATCTCAGCCTTCGCGAAACCCTGGCCAATGCAACTTCGTGGCCCGTGCAAGAATGTCAGGAAATCGTAGTTGCTGGCCGCCCCTCCATTCGTATTCGGCTTCCCGTCCGTGATCCAACGTTCTGGGAGGAATTCTGCAGCATCCGGGCCCCAGATCTTTGGTGAACGATTGATGTACCAGATCGAGACGATGATATCGGTGCCCTTGGGGATGAATTGGTCTCCAATGCGTGTATCACACAGAGCCTGCCGCATGGTCATTGGCACCGTCGGGTAGAGCCGTAGTGTCTCATGCATAATTCCGTTCAGGTAAGGGAGCTGTTCCAAGATTCCGGCAAGATCAACTGCTGGAATGCTTCCGATATCCTCTGGCAAAGCCTTAGTGACTTCCTCTCTGAGCTTCTCTTGGATTTCAGGGTTCTTCGTGAGCAAGTAACATGCCCATGTGAGCGCAGAAGCTGTGGTTTCATGGCTATTTCTTTGTCAGAGATGTAACATATATGGAGACAAATGAGAGCAACATACCCTGCTGCGAGAAAAGTCAACAGCTGATCTTTCAACGCCTCGTCAGAAAAGTTATTTGACTTGATAAGAAGTGACAGAATATCGGAGTGATCATCCTCCTTCTCAGTAATGGCAACCCTTTTCTCCTGAATCATTGGCCGACAGATGTCATTTAATGACCCAGTCAAGTAGTTGAAGAGGTCGTTCATCTTCCATGGAATCAGTCGAACAAACGGAAGGCCGAGAGCCAATGACAACATAGCGAAGACAAGCTTTTCCCGGGTAGGCTCAAGAAGTGCTTCGTATATTTCCGCAAGCGGATCCTTCTTCTTCTCAACAGCATCAAACTTTTGGCCCAAGCCAGCAATGCCAATGATGTCGAGGGTAACCTTGCTCGCCCAGGTGCTCAGCTCTATGGCTGACGATCCGTTGGTAGTAGTCTCTTTATTGAGTGCCTTTGCCAATACCTCCCCTCTTGCCCACATCATAGTGTACAGCTCCTTGATATGCCGAAAATGGAAAGCAGGCGTTGAACTTTTTCGGAGGAACTTGTGCTGGTCACCCTCGACGATGATAAGTCCATCTCCAAGAATGTGCCTCAGAAACGAGCTGATTCTCTTCGGTTTCGCAAAGTCGTAGCAGTTATGGACGAGAAGGTCTGCTAGTAGTCGAGGGTTCATGATGCATATTTGGTCTCGAAGTACGTTGAGTGTTATCAAGTCTTGATCCGGGTACTGTTTCGCGAGGTCTAAGAAGAGATCACCCGACGGTCTGTCTTTGATAATGAGGGCACGATGAGCGGCACTAAAGTATGCCTACGAGAGAGGAACATTAATGTCAACTATGGCGCTATGCATATGCAGGAGAGTGTTGTTGTTGGTTAAATGTAGAGACGGGGAGAATTTGGGGCGGAGTAACTCACTTTCGGGCCCGGGATACGGCGAAGGGGACTAAACAATCTTGGGTATAGCAGCGTCCAGAAGACGAGTCCGAAGGCATAGATGATGAGCAGAATTGTCGCTACGGTGGCTAGGTGACTTTGAGTGCCGTAGTAGTTGGGAAATAGCTTGATAGCTAGAAGTGACTCTGCCGCCGCAGCGAGCGTGAGGCTGGGAAGACTAAAAAGCTGAGCTGCAATCGCCATACTGAGTATGTTGTAGTAAACAGAGATAGAGTGGTGTATTTACTTGTCTCTCGCTCGAAAGGACAACTCTGGAGGCTTTCTTAAGAATGTTATTGTTGGCTTCAAGTGAAGATCATGTCTAAGTCTATATAACGGACCATGATTCGAGATCCTAGCATAATAAGCAAGCGACGGTTAATACACCCGGTCAACTTAGACCCGAGTCTCTAAGTGCAAATGCTCCAGGCAGCACCGTGAGACGAAGACAGCATCAAATTCATCCACATCGCAACCTTACCCCAGAAACCTGTGATGCCTTTACCAGTCGACCTACCGTTACAATGGACCATAACCCCTGTCGATGTTGATCGAGGTACATTTCTGTACCAGCGAATTTTCATGTGACTAAATGTCATTACGACCACTCGAGCGCCTAAGCTAATGCAGGTCGCAAAAGGGGTCTAGATTAGGCTTAGCATGCCCTCCCACTCACTCACAGCTTCTGATGACGTCGTTTTGCTATGCCTCGGCTCCATCTCGAGGTTTCCCCGCCACGTGGACATAGCGAGCAATTACGAAAAGAAGTTACGCGTGTCTATCAACACCGACGGACGCCTGGCATTGGCTGAGCCTCCGTTGTTGATCAACTCTCAATTGTCGACCCAATTAATGTGCTTGGGGTTGAATTGCTTTCACCAGCTCTGAGATGAACTTTTCGCAACCTAAGCCGAAAATGTATAGCTCACTGTGTACTCCAACAGCTCGGTGATATCTGGAAGAGACTATGCACATGTGGGCATCTCCCAATTTACAAGAGTATGACTTGAATGGAGGCTTTCAAGACTTCGTCCCCATGAGACAATTCATCGCCTCAAACTAAATTGATCATCCTCTATCCCAAACAACACATCAAATTATCCTTTGCTACAGGAGGACAGTGCATTCACGTTCCTTTTCCTAATGGCTCCAAAGATCGTAGCAAGCCTCATTCTAGGATGCGCCTTACTAGGAGGCTATGCCAGTATGATTACAACATACCGACATGGATTCTTCGACGCACTCCGCATCTGCACCTCTGATAGTTCATTGCTTTCCCCAGAGCCATGTGTTCTGGACATGTCAGGCTCGATATCATTATTCTCCAAGACCATAACAGGCGTAGCTCCTGTAGATTCCTTGATTTACGTTCTCTTAGAGTTTTTCTCTCAAGGGCTAAGGAGTGACCCTGGCGCTAAAAGCATCGATCTTGAAGCTTTGCTCGCCTTTGGATACCTATCTGCTCAATTTGGAGGGGCTTGGTACCTGGTGGCACTTGAAGGCTTGAGGCTGGGAAACCGGGGTACGATGCTGAGTTGGTAGGTTTTGTATCTTGCTTTGAAGCTAAACAAAGTCTGACTTGTGACGCAGGACTGGGACATTCGGCATAGTATTTCAAGCAGTCACGATCACCATTATCGCCCCAATCTATTTAACGCTGCAGCTGCTGTCCTCGCCTTCCATTCTGCGGCTAAATTCCATCCTCGCCGACCCGTGCGACCTCGCCCTCTTACCAGTATCCACGGTCATATCTTACGTTATACCGACCGTTGGGCTCTCTCTTCCCTTGCTCAATATCCTCTCTCAGGAAGCCAAGTACATCGTCATCGCCCTCTGGCAGCCTTTTCCCCTATACCAGTCCGCGATCCAGGGACTGTCACATATCTTTTGCAGGACAAGACAGGGAAAGGCTCGTAACATAGCCCACATCAATCCCCGAGAGTGCAAAAAGGCTTTGAATCGAGCATATAGATTCATCACGAGCCTGACCTTGAGCGTGCACTTGGTTGTGATGGGTACTCTTCTCGTTTCTTTCACAACTAAGTCTGTTCCAACAATTTCGGCGCACCATGTGCTAGCTCTCACATCGCTTACGAGCCCTCCCACTCTGGTAATGCTGGATCCGCCCGTACCAGCAACCAGTTCGCGAGAGATTGTGGTATCTTTCTTGCGGTGGGACGTCTATTGTACGTGTGTTTCGATGCTTATCTGGTCCGGTTATCAACTATATGCGGTGCAGGGATCTCCAAGCGTTCTGGCAATGGGCCCGAAGGCATTGAAGTGGGCGTTGGTGGGTGGCCCAATTTTCCCAGCATTGATGTTTCTTTGGGAACGGGATGACATCGTGATGGACAAGTTAGAGCTCTCCAGGTCGTACCAAAAGGAAGAGTGAGGAGTGTAGTTTTGAAAGCTAGGGAAGATGGAGGGGTGCTGATAGGCGTGGAGCATTGTAAATTGCTAGGCGCAATTGGCCAAATAGCAACTGAAATCGCAAAAGCAATGACATTTCGCTATCAGATCGTTATACAGAACAGTATCCATTCACCTAAAACAACATATCAAGGGCCACTGAAGACTGATCCAATGCTTCACAGTAGCTCGGACTGGGCGAGGCCATCAGTGGACGAAGGAAAGCTTGCTCGCGCGCCCATCGATGCTCTTCGCCTCCCCTATCCATCCATCCAACCGCAGACCTGATTCCTATTGCCGAGTTCATTCTCTTCAAAATAATATCCGCCCTCTCAAGCTGGGCCGGCGTTGCATATGCGCAGTGCGAGATCAGTCTGATGGAGTGAACAATGATCATTGCAGCGGCCCCGTCGTATGGCATAGTAGTAGGCATACCACCCGGACCGATGTCACCGAGAGCATATGGCACACTGCAAAGCATATCTTGAATGGTTTTCCCCAAGTCAGCCTCGAGAACTGGGATACATTCTGCCCAGAAGGCCCCGTAGCTGCCATTTGCTGTATTGCCAGCCGACTGGAGCTTGCTGTGATATAGAACCACGGTCAACAATAGGATGAGACGCGCAGAGCGGACCAGGATGATGATGCACGCTGTCTCGGCGTCATAAAAAGTGCTTCCGGATCCCATTTTGCCCAGAGCTGTCGGCACACCACGGCCCTCAAAATTAGTTTGCCAGTATGACGCGGCCTCTTCGTCCCAGGTATAGAAGTCGTCGAGCATTTCGAAGCATTCCATTACCAAGAGGTTCTCTTCGTCTGGATCTGTGCTGCCTTGAAAAGCTGAGGAAGGGCTGCCCGCTTGATTGTCTCGTGTATCGCCCTCGATGTATTTTGCTAGACGATGGCGTATTGCTAGAGTCCTCGACATCATGGATAAGGCTCGGAGAAGAGGGTCGAAGAGGCCCATCACAGTGGCTATGGCACCAGGGTCACTATAGTTGTCGTCCTCGCGCAAAAAGGAGTAAATTTGCTGTAATAAGGTTTTTGTCAGTGGTTGACGGCTGTGACACAGAGAGCCTACTTACTAGTCGAAGAAGAGCAAGCAAAAACAGCTCTGCCCCTCTTCTCGTTCCGATCTGCCCCGGCCCTCGCCTTTCCAAGAGATAGAAAAGCCCCGGGGCGTGCTCACTGGCATCGCCTAAGCCCTCTCCGCTGATGTCCTGATTAAAGATTAGCGTTATGATCACCTCTGGATGGGAGGTGGATGAGACTTGCCTTGTAGGTACAGAGTAGCAGAATGGTCGCAATCACCCTGTCATCAATCGCCTGGTCATCCGACTTGATATTCTGTTGTAGGCTTCGAATGGCGCTAATATAATTCCTCAAAGACTGTGTTCGAAGTTCCTCGCCTCCGAGATGGTTATACGCCGCCATTTGAGATACGCTGAGAGTGGCTGTTTCGAGCATGCCATGTTTGTAATGGTCATACAGGTCGGGGAGGAAGCTGAAGTGGCCAGGGAAGCCGTCGGTATCGTCGGGAGACACGAAGCGACGGATAAAATAAAATAGCGACACGTTGTCGTACGATTCACTCGGTTGTCGAACGATGGAGACGGAAAGTTGGTCATTGGTATCTACCCTGGGACGTGCTGCTTGTGTGCATTGTTTTGGCGATACGATCACCTGGTTCTCTTCAGGTCCCGGTGGGCTTGCTGAGGTAGATGGGGCTCGTGTAGATTTGGTCTTTTGCGACGAATGACGAAAGTCGAATTGGTCAGTGTATCCAAGACACGGCTTCCCGTAGTTGTAGCATCGACGACAGGTGGGTTTCATCTCATCGCACTGCCAAAATATCTCTCATCAGCTTCTACTCAATAGCTACGAGATGAGATAATTAGTGTATATCGCCCACCTTCACCTTACGCTGGCGACATCGCAAGCAGCCTGTGTTGAAGCGGCCCGGAAAGACCATTCTGGCTAACAAGTGGAGTCGACTTAGGATGAGTCGATAAAGTCCAGGATTCTTGTGGTGAAGGAGCTCGGAGAAGATGCAGCTTGCGGACAACGGAGCGTCATTGGGATCCGGGGAAAGCTGAAAGACAATCACGTAATCGCATGCTAGCGAACGCACGAGCACAGTCACATTGCCAAACCCCGCAAAGGACGTGAGGTTGCATCCGAGCTGAAGCAGGATCAACATCATTAGCGTAGACAGGGGTGAGGAGGGCCAGGAGCTAGGGGAGGTCGAGGCCATGTGCTGCGCCTGTTGAGAGACCAAAAAACAAATCACTTCTTGATCGTTGCCTTGACTTGGTTTGGTTTAGCTTGCGACCGTCTTGTTCTGTGTCCAGCTTTGGACCTCGGCTTGACCGACTTCTCAACGCGTTGGGTTCCTCGTCACGATCGAGAGAAACAAGGCTTCGAGGCGAGCAGAAGATGTTCATCTAAGTGAAGGGTTTTCCCGTAAAGTTTGTAAATTTGAGTATCTCTTCCAAACTCGATGCTATCATAGCCCACAAGCCCACTACAGACATATCAACTCAACCACTCTAAAATCCCGACAGCCATGTCTTCTTTGCTCTACTCCCCTGCGATTGAATATGTTTTACGACTAGGTCGAATTATTTCCTCTCCCTTCCTAACGGCTCCTCTGCTTCTTGCAGTCATATATGCTCCTGAAGCCGTTCGCGATGCTCTTGCTCCCATCGTCGACAAGCTCCCAGACCATGTCGCGTCATCCCTGAACCTTGCAACGGCTCGGACAGTCCTGCAAATCTTGGTTGGTCTTGGCGTTCTTAGGCAGATCAACGAGACACTTAATACCATGGCACACAATTCTTGGCGCTTAACAGCCAGCAAAGGCTGGAACTGGCCTGACGAAATTGCCGTCGTCACCGGCGGCTCCAGCGGAATTGGCAAGAGCATTGTCGAGAAGCTCGTTAGTCTTGGTGTTCGCACCGCCGTCTTAGATGTCCAAGACCTTCCGGGGGACCTCAAGGCGAATCAACGGGTCTCCTTTTACCGCTGTGACGTGACTTCCACCGAGTCCGTGGCAGAAGCTGCCAACGCTGTTCGCCGCGAACTTGGACATCCATCCATCCTCATCAATAATGCCGGCATCACGCAGCCAACACCAATCCTCAAGATGCCCGAGTCGTTTCTTCGCAGAATCTTCGGCGTCAATCTCATGTCTCTGTGGTTTACCACCCAACAATTTCTGCCACGCATGATCCAGTTGAACAAAGGACATGTAGTCACGGTGGCAAGCATTGCATCTTTCGTCGGTCTGGCTACTGCCGCGGACTACTCGGCCACAAAAGCTGGAGCCTTGGCTTTCCATGAATCTCTGGTATGCGAGCTGAAGCAATATTACAAAGCTCCGAATGTCTTGACAACCGTTGTTCATCCTAATTTTGTTAGAACTCCCCTTGTTGAAGATTTCGTGGATCGATTGGAAGGCTCTGGGGTTCGCCTGTTGACTCCCGACCAAATTGCCATCGAGGTAGTCAATCAGATTAGAAGCAAGCGTGGCGGGCAGCTAATTGTTCCAAACTCGGCTTCCGTTATTTCTGGTATTCGAGGGTGGCCGACGTGGATCCAAGAACTCCTTCGCGATGTCATTGGAAAGGGAGCGGTACGCCAGTAACAGGGTCGGGGAAGATTATGTGTGAATTAACCATACTTATTCGATGCAAGCCCAATTCTATCATAGATATAGCCTCCTCTCCCATTTTATACACATTCTGTACTGAATGTCTTTGAAGAAAAGGCGTTTGAGATATCTGAAGGACCGCGAAGTTGAAGCTGAACCCGTATGTGAGGGCATCAACAAAAAACTCCTTTATACACTAGGAGCCAATAGATACCATAATAAGCCCAGAATAAATAATAGCATGTACCAGATTTGAGGATAACTCAGTATTTCTTCGTAAGTTCTTAGCAGCTATCTTCAGGGCTGGAAAGTATGCTGAGGCTCTCAGGTGTGGTGGTATAAATAGGTCGTGAATGCCCTCCGCACCGTCTCTGGTTCTGCCTTTCTCTTCACATCCCCTTCCACCATATATACTAGCCACAAGTTTCAGCAACTTACTTAAAGAGATTCACTCACGACGCTTCATGATGGCTGCTGGCTCTACCTTGAGGGCACTTTTTATCCACCTCTGGGTCCTACTGTGCTTGCCATGGGCACTGTCTCATTTTATTTTTGATGCCACCCTCTGCCTTGTTCCTTGGACACGCCCTTCCCGGAAATGGTCACTGAACCAGGCTATCCGCATGCGTATAGTCAGACTATTGCTGTTGTACTGGTCCGTCACGAAGGCTGGAGACAGACTGCACCTCCGCCAGGGACGAGAGAAGAACCGATTCGAAGTCATTGCCCCAAGGCCCCTCGAGTCGTACAGGGGAGCCTTGGCGGATACTGCCATCCAGCCTATGCAATTGGGTATGACTTGGACGCCATCACGACCGCCCCCTGCTGCGTTAGTTGGCCCCGATATGGTTGTTGCGCTGCACTTTCACGGAGGCGGCTTTGTCATTGGCAACGGCCGCGACGAGGATACTGGATATCTGGCTCAGACTCTCATACGGCATATGGGCTGCACTCATGTTTGCACGCCGCAGTACCGCCTCTCGAGCGGCAAAAACGGACAATTTCCTGCGCCCATTCAGGACTCTCTCACAGCATACCTCTGCCTGCTCAAAACGAAGGGTATCCCTGCTAGCCAGATCATTCTGTCTGGCGATTCAGCAGGAGCGAACATGGTACTCGCACTGGTGCGATACATTCACCAGCACGGTCAGCTCGATGAGATTCCGCTCCCTAAGGCAGTTACCCTTTGGTCACCTTGGGTGGATGTAAGTAGTGCTCTCGAGCAAGACTTAACGCGGTCACCCAACTACAAGACGGACTATCTCAACAGGCAATTCGGCGCATGGGGGGCCTCAACGGTCTCTGCATATGGTGCCATCGATCCGTCGGGCCCATATCTGTCGCCTTTACGTCATCCCTTCCAACTCAAGTCAAGCCTTCCTATGTATGTGAATGCGGGAGAACGCGAGGTGCTTTGTGACGATATCAAGGAGTTTTGTCAACGCTACAGGAAGCACGGATGGTTGATTCATCTGGATATTTCCGAGGGATGCCCCCACGACATCCTGTTGCTGGGACCTAGGGCTGGGTTTGGAGCCGAGGCAGAGGAGGCAGCAAGGCGTGCCAAAGACTTCCTATGCAAGAATGCGGGTGTCAATCTTGGTGGTTATCACCGGAAGGGGGCTTTGTGAGCAGTGACGCGGTTGCGGTTCAGGTACCACGTCGATGGCCCAGTTGGTTTAGGCTTCAGCGAGAAGTCACTCGTAGCATAGTACATTCATTCACATGAAATCTGAATAACGGAGTGCTGTCTATGTGCAATGACGTACGCATCCTCTCGGCATCTCCAATGGTCGATCTGATGGTCGCCAGCGGACTGCCGGATTAACAAAAGAATCCTTGCTATGCAACTTTGACAGGTCATGAAGTGGTGGGCATGGACACCCTGGCGAGCACGACTTTCTCCTTGCAAGCGGATGTCTACTCTAATCCAGTACATAGAGATACATCGAGCGACTTTCCCCGCACCTTGGGTATTTAGGTCCAGGGTGTGGCTCCAAATGTTCCCCTTTGTGGTTTAGCTTGCGATCTCGTATCAGTTCCGCCAGGATTCGTGGTGGAACGACCATCATATTGATATCCACATTGCCAATTACGCATATCATCATGTCTAGGGTACCAGATCGTTACCACGCGATGGACAAGACTGGCAATATTGCATGTGATGACCCGTTCCGACATCTAGTGACAAGCTCAACTCCCGACGGGAGACAAATTCCACCAACACGTCCGTGTGTTTTGATGTTTTCTCGCAAGCTAAGCCGTAAATCGGGTTCCCATACGATGTGGCATGATAATCCAGAAAATATGTCTGCGAGGTGCCGAGGTTTCCTGCACCACGAACCTGTCGTGGCTACGAAAGCTGTGGAAATATTACCTCGTGGCCGACCTCTGGTAACATTCAACTGCAACATAACTTCTGCTTCGCTTATGTTAGAAACCCACCTATTTACACGAATACCTGAAGATTCCTATAACAAATTACTTTGGCCAACTGCATTGACTTGCCATGGACAGCCAGTCGGACGAAATGAGCTCTTTCGACAAGATTGGCGACAATCTGTCATTCGACGTCGTCATCATCGGCGCAGGCATCTCCGGAATTAACGCCGCCTACCGCATCCAAACCGAAGGACCTTCCGATGTGTCCTATGCTATCCTCGAGGGTCGAGACTCGATCGGGGGCACATGGGATTTGTTCAAGTATCCCGGCATTCGATCCGACTCGGACATGTTCACTTTTGGCTTCCCATGGAATCCATGGAAACACAACGAAACTCTAGCCGCCGGCGACAGGATCAAAGACTACATGATCGACTCCGCGAGATCAGTAGGCATCGACCATCACATCTGCTACAATCATAGTGTTTCTGAGGCCCACTGGCACTCAGAGAAGAGGATGTGGGAACTGCAAGTGGCTCGACCCGGAGATGACTCGCCGGTTGTTTTTCAGGCCCGATTTGTCATACTCGGTACTGGCTACTATGACTACCAAACGCCACTCCAGACCACCATTCCAGGTATCGAGAACTTCAAAGGGAAAGTCATACACCCTCAGTTCTGGCCCGAGGACTACGACTACACAAACAAGAACGTAGTTGTCATTGGAAGTGGCGCCACTGCTATCACAATTGTACCGTCCATGGCCGACAAAGTGAAACGCATCACTATGCTACAAAGAAGCCCAGGTTATATTTTCCCGCTGCCCTCAAATAGCTTCTTTACGGCACTTCTTTTCACCGTCTTGCCTGCCAGTATGGCACACTTTCTCAACCGGCTTTTGTGGCTCTTCAAGAGCTATTTAACGACACTTCTCTGCAAGTCCTGCCCTGGGCTGGCGAGAAAAATTATCAAATATATCACTGTCAAGCAGCTTCCGCCTGACGTTAGCTGGGACCCTCACTTCAAACCCCGCTACAACCCATGGGAGCAGCGGTTCTGCGCCTGCATGAACGGTGACTTTTTCGCTGCTATCCGATCGGGCAAGGCAGATGTGGTTACAGATAAGATCAAGACTATCGCCGAAGACCGCATCGAGCTTGAGTCTGGAGAAGCGTTGCACCCAGACGTTATTGTCACCGCGACAGGTCTGAAGCTTCATTTCGGCGGAGGCATCAAGTTCGTGATCGACGGGGAGGCCTTCAGCGTGGCGGACAGGTATGCTTGGAGAGCGGCCATGCTTCAAGATGTCCCAAATCTACTCTTTGTAACAGGCTACGAGAATGCGTCCTGGACATTGGGGGCGGATGTCACCTCACGGCTCTTTGTTCGTATTCTCAACAGGATGCGAGAACGGAACGTGACCACCGTGGTGCCGCGAATGGTTGTATCGAAGAACATGCCGGTCAAGCCCATGATGACCCTGTCTTCTACCTACTTGAAGAACGCCGGTGCTGTGTTCCCAAAGGGCGGCTCAGGGCCATGGAGCCCCAAGTCCAATTATTTTTCAGACATGGCTGGGGCGAAATGGGGAGACATATCTACGGATTTAGAGTACTTGTGACGAACAGCGTCGGCCCAATGGCCATTCTTTGCATAATTGAGCTAGAAACGTAAACAGTTGATATCATATCTCTATCAGTCCCCTCTTTAATCTGTATCACTTCTATTTTTCAGAAGCATATTCCAATCTTGATTGAAAACCGCTTTCAGCATCTATAGACTCGCAGTAGGCAGGAATAGTGTGAAGAGTATCTGAGGAAGGACAATTGGAATTGCTGAACCCACATCTCTTTTTCCTCTAGTGTTCAGCAAACGACTTTGTCAGGATCCCCGTATATCGGCCATTTTCGGCTGCGCAGAGAAAGAGCCCTACATTCCGAGGTAGCTGTTGTAGATGAGTGGATGACGTCTTCCTACCGGGTCTTGGTCAAACTCGGCATCTTGGCCGGCGCGGGGTATACTAGCTCCATATCGCGCGGCTTGCGAGCCCTGCATACGTCGATGATGTATAGTGGCAAGTTAGATAGTCATCGTGGGGTTGTCATCGTGGAGTTTAACAGTGTTTCCTAATTGAGGACCACCTTCCGAGACGATGATAGTCGCATTCTATACCACTCAGCTGACCACAGGATTGGTATTGATTCCGCTGTTAAGTTGCTCTTACTTTCCCAACTCCGGTATAGAGGCTCGAGAAATTGCTGAAAGCTTCTTTTCACACTTGGAATCCACAGCTAGTCTGGCTGTCTTCGTCCATAGCACAGTTATTTACTCATCACCCTGCATCTCTCAGTCCCAGCTCCCTATTAACAGCATTGTTTCACTGAGATCTTTTGTAATGCCTTCTTTTACTCACATTTCAAATCAACCCGTGCTAGCTATCAGCACACTAGATCCCAGAATGTCTCTTCTTTCTGAACCAGGCTCTTTGGGCAACTTGACTATTGAAGAGGAACGCAAGCTTCAAGAGGCATGGGTGCACTTACTCCGACTATGCGAGACTCAGAACATCAGTCATGGCACGCCAGACAAAAGTAGAATATTTCTTCAAAACC